TTGAGCCCTTTAAAATTGGTGATTTTAAAGAATATCTGTATTCATGCAGCGCAGTTTATCAAGCACTGCTTTAGATAATAATTTTCAAGATGACTTGGTGATAGAATTCTCTATAGCAAAAGGCTCTTCATGATATGCATAGTACTTACTGAACCGGCGATAGTCTATGCTTGCCATGGAAATTTATGAACTTTAAATGAAAGAAATCACTGCTTTGAATTCCAACTTTTGTGGAATTTTATAACAAAATATTGAAATTCACCCAGAAAAAGAGTTACTTGAATCTTAGCAATCTACACCAGGGTGAATTTGCAGTATTTTTAAAAATATTATTTAGTGGCTTACTTTTGGCCGCGCTGGGTCTTTGTTGCTGTGAGCGGGCTCTCTCCAGCTGTGGTGAGCGGGGGCCCCTCTGTGGCAGTGCCCAGCTTTCTCGTTGCGCTGGCTTCTCTTTTCTTGGGGCACAGGCTCTAGGCGTGCGGGCTGCAGTAGCTGCACCATGCCCGCTCAGCAGTTGAGGCTGTTGGGCTCTAGGGCACTCGGCTCAGTACTGTGGTGCATGGGCTTAGTTGCTCCATTCCACATACGTGGAATCTTCTGGGACAAGGGATCGAACCCATGTTCCTGGCATTGGCAGGCAGATTCTTACCACTGTACCACCAGGCAAGTCCCTGGATTTATAGTACTTTTGTTTTGGAATTGACTACTTATTTAGATAATTGCTAACATAACGTTAAAAGTTATAGAAATCTGGATCTGAGGTTTCAATTTTGTTCATTTTCAGTATGATCATATTTTTTTCACTCAGATTTCTGATATTTTTATTTATTTATTTTTGTCAGTTTTGTAGTCCTGCTGAAGAGAATTACGTAGTTAGAAAGAGTTACTATTAAAGGACGTGTGGGCTCAACTCATGTTATTCCATAAGGGGGCTTCCCTCATAGCTCAGTCAGTAAAGAATCTGCCTGCAATGCAGGAGACCTGGGTTCGATTTCTGCGTCAGCAAGATTCTCTGTAGAAGGGAATGGCAACCCACTCCAGTGTTCTCGCCTGGAGAATCCCATGGACAGCGAAGGCTGGCAGACTATATAGTACATGGGATCTCAAGAGTTGGACACTGTTTAGCAACTAAACCACCACCACTATGTTATTCCAACTCATTGTGTTGTTTGGTTTTCACTTCAGAGGACACATTATTAACTCATTTAAGTGAGTTTGCACACATGGGAATACTGAATCCTTATAGTGGGGTACCAAGTGGTTGAACTCGGTAATGTATTTAGCAAGTGATTATATTTTTATAATGTTATGTAGGAATCAGACCCAGTGTATTCATTGCTATGCTACCCAGCTTATCAACAGAGTAGGCACTGATATTTGTTGCATGAGTAAGAGTAAATAAAACCTAATGGTGAAGGGTGTTGTGGAGTTAAGTAAAGTTATTCCTGAAAATACTGCAGGTAAATTGAGGGATGCAGTAGAGCAGGATCTAATGCCTGATGATCGAAGGGTGGAGCTGGTGTAATAATAATAGAAATAAAGTGCGCAGTAAGTGTAATGCTTTTAAGTTGTCCCCAGACCCCACCCCCGTCTCTAGAAAAATTGTCAACAAAACTGGTCCTTCGTGCCAAAAAGGTTAGGGACCTTTGCAGTAGACTACAGTGGAAAGACAACTGAATCAAGAATCAGAAAATCTGAGTTCTAATTCCAAATCTGAAGGTAAATAGCCATGTGACATTATACAAGTTTCTGGACCTTGTTTCCTTGTGGGATTAAAGGGGGACTCGTAATAACCACTTCCTCATAATTCATAGGTTGTTGAAGGAATAAAATGAAAGATTGATATAAAATGCTTTGCAAATGTAAATGTACAAAGTCAAGGTTGTTTTTCCCTCCCACTTGCCTAGTACAGTGCCTTGAACAGTATTAACACAGATACGGACTTTCTTAATACTAAAAGGTAGGCTAAGAAGCAGAGTTAGGATCGATTCTTGGAGTGCTTACAGAATGTTGAGGGTAGAAGGAGGAAGAAAAACCTCCGAAAGAGAAGCAAAAGAAGCAACGAGGAAAAAGAATCAAACAACTATAGCTCTCTCCTTACTGGACATGCTGTTCACTAAGCTTTTTTTATGCTGTTTGGGAAAAGGATGGTTAATGCTCAGGAAGTAACTTTTGACCTGATTGTCTCAACTCTGCCTGAGTAGACTTACCCCCTTCATATGGGAAGTATGTGGGGATGAGGAGAAGTTCTTTTTGAGAGCTTAAAATGAAAGATCTGCAGTTAGGTAGTTTGAGTGCTTGTTTTGCTTTTCTATAATAACTATGAGTGACTTATCATGAAAACATTGAAGGTGAAGCCATTCTTAACCTGATGCTCAGCAACTACCGTCTGCCCCCAGACTAAGCTCTGGCAGGTGTGAAGGCAGGGACTTTCTTTTGCTTGCCATCATAGCCACATAGCAGAAATCTGGGAGCTGACGAAGAGTGTGGATGAGGAGTCATAATCAGATTGGTTCTTTCTTTTTTTTAAATTTTGATTTATTTACTTGGCTGCCCCAGGTCTTAGTTGAGACATGTGGGTCTTTTAGTTGCGGCATGTGGGATCTAGTTCCCTTGACCAGGGATCAGACTTGGGCCCCTTGCGTTGGGTGTGAGGAGTCTTAGCCACTGGGCCACAAGGGAAGTCCCGGATTGGTCATTTCTTTCCTTTTCGCCTGTGCTGGGTCTTCACTGATGCGTGGGCTTTTCTCTAGTTGTAGAGAGCAGGGTCTGCTCTCTAGCTGCGGCGCACAGGCTTCTCGTTGCGGCGGCTTCTGTTGTGGAGCATGGGGTCCAGAGTGTGGGCTCCAGGGTTGTGGCGCGTGGGCTTATTTGCTCTGTGGCATGTGGACCTTCTCGGATCAGTGACTGAACCCGTGTCTCCTGCATTGGCAGGTGGATTCTTCACCACTGAGCCGCCAGGGAAGCCCCAGATTGGCTATTTCTGATGAAATTGTTTTTAAATTATGGTTGTTGTTAGGGAATGGCTAATATATTTTTGATGATGCAGTACACATATATTTGATTTCCAGGAACAGCTTACCTGAGGAAAATCTAAAATGTGATACTTCTACTACATACACCAAGCAGGAAAATAATTTCTTTTGTCCCCAAAAGATCATCTGCATGTGTTAAAGTATTATTTAAAATAGTAAGGTACATAAATCTTATTGCCAGTGATCATATGATTTATTTTTGGTGGGTGGATATTAATGGATTGATTATCTAACTTCTGCACATTTTATAAAAATATGTTCTTATATTTTTAGGAGGCAAATTTATATCTATAGGAAGCAAAATTTAATCATTTAATTGTGTGAAACACCATGCTTTTGGAAAGGTGGATGTTTTTTAGGGGGTGGAGTTTGAAAGTAATAGTTAAAATCCAGTTTTTGAATAATACATTGTTGTTAGTTACCTGTTCTAACCTTACTGTAAATCTCTGTTGTTTGATGTGGCTGCTTTTTGGCATGCTGTGGTTCATCGGATTGCAGAGTCGAACATGGCTGAGCGACTGAACTGAACTGAAATGAAATAAAATTAAAAATTTAGTCCTTCTGTTGCCGTGGCCATATTTCCAGCGCTCAGGAGCCACGTGTGCATGTGGCCAGGGGCTACTGTGTTAAACAGTGGCAATAGGGGATATTTCCTTCCATCATCAGAGGAAGTACTTTTGGACTGCATTGTTCTCAATGAAAATGGCTAAGAGATTTCAGCAAATTTTATATACTGAAAGTTGGAGAGTAGAGTGGCAAGAAATTGGAAACCTTTTCTTTTGGAATTGTTGTGTGGGATCTTTCAAGGTACTTAAATTCTCTAGTAAGAGAAAGATAACTTCAATCATGGAGTCCTGGTGTCTCCATATTCGCTGTCTACTACAGCCAGGCCAGACAGGGAGTATTATCCTCCTCTATAGAGGCCATCACGCCTGTGAGGGAGGAACTGTAGTTTGAACCCAAGTTTGTGTGACTCCAGTGTACGTATTGTTTTTGTTTTGGACCTTAGGAGTAGTGTTGAGTTGATCATAATCTCCAGTTATAGTATTGTTACCTGTCATCAAAGACTTTTCTTCCTCTCATCCGCAGGCACCATTTTAATATGTTTGATGTATTTTTTTGTTTGTTTCTGCAGAATACATATTGTAGCGTCAGGTTTATGACTTCTACATTTGCATGGAGGGTGTTATGTATCTAATATGAGACTTTCCCCACTCTGCAATGCGCTTGATGATTTGAGCGCCCAGCCTGCCTTTTGTACACTTTGTGAGGAATTCTTTGTAAACGGTGTTAGACTTTTTGGCTTTTGTCATTAGAGAAGTCTGAAAGAATCCAACCCCCACCCTCCCTGCTCAGGCAATAATGATAGGATTATTATTTGAGGGGTGTGTATACTTTTTTTTTTTAATAGGTTACTTTTGTTCCACCATGAGGAGGCCAGTGATTACTTCCAACAGATATTGGTGTGTCTGAGCATTGTGGCTGTTTGTTTGTTTCTTTTTTTTTAATGTAAAATCTTTATTGAGCTAATTGCAGATTTATATATGGGTGTAAGAAATAATACAGAAAAAATGAAAAATAAAAAAAAAGAAATAATACAGTACTATCCCTTTGTATACTTTGCTGAGGTGCAGCTGCCTTTTTATGCTTCTGATGTATATGTAGACAGGAAAGGGAGAGAGATAAGCTGTTAGAATTATGTCGAGTAAGAGCGAAAGGATGAAGCATCCTCTTGTGAATGTAATGGTACATGAGTATTAGCATGTGGACTTTATTTTAGTTGCCTTTTTGTTTCAGTTTTTTAGTATGTGTTTCAAATAGTGAAGTTATTTAATTGAGTTGTTCGAAAATGATATATTTCTTTAAGCAAATTTAATTTTTCATACAAATGCTGTTGAAAGTAATCATGCAAGTGTAAAATAGTTTTGATAATGATTAGATATTTCTGTGTTTTCTTTGTTTTAGGTTGTTTCACGAAGAAATCCAGAGGATGTCCAGGAGGTAACATGTTTATCCATATGAAAATTTTATTTTATGCATTTTGACAAAAATTTAATTAAATGCCTCATTGAGGAAGCAGTTATGTTTATGTCAGTCATTGTATGTTTGGAAATTGTCTTCAGTTCACTGAACAGTAACTGAAATATCTTATTTCAGACCTATTGGGTACATGTTAAGTTTCAGTAGGTGTTAAGTTATATAAATAAAAACTTCAGGAATTATAGTTCCATTTAATAACATGATAACTTTTCTGATAATTGCCACTCATAAGATTTCAGTCCTAGTTAAGGGCCCCTATTGATTTGAAAATTATGATGCCTGTATGGTAAAGAAAAAAAATAAAGAGTATTTGGTAACCTGTATTAATTTTAAAGAGCATAATAAATTATGGGTTTGTCTGTACTTCCATTTTTTTATTGGCATATAGTTATTTTAGTGTTGTGTTAGTCTCTGCTGTACAACATGAATCAGCCATGCATATACATATATCCCTTCCCTCCTGACCTCCTTCTCTACTTCCATTTTTATATTGAGTTGGCATGTTGACATCTTGGGAAATTGCTTCTTTTTAGAATTTTGTAGTTAGTTCTTTTGCAGACTAATTCCCTCTTTTTAAAATGATACCAGTTTGTTGTAGTTTTGCTTAGAACTGTAGAATTCTCTGTTTGTAATTACTTTGTCCTTGTGTATACGTTTAGGAATCCTAACTGAGGAGTTTACTTCTTTTAACATTTTAAAGTTTACTTTCATTTTGGTCCTTGCTTATTTACAGTAGGACTAGAAGGATATATATAGTCTATATATATATATTTTCTTTCTTCTAAAGTGTTTAAAACAGATGTTGTAATTCGTTAAGTCTTTATTCTGCAAGATTTTTTTTTTCTAATTGTATTTTAATGTTTTCAGGTGGGCTGTGTATCTATTTAACCACAAGCCCCTCTTCCTTCTTACTAAACATACCTGACTTGATTCATAAATTTAAATTGATTGGTTCTGGTTGGTTTGAACATGTTTAGATGATATTTTAACTTTTATGTATTACTGTTTCTTCCTATATCTAATCTGATACTTGTTTTTGTCCTGTTGTTAAAAAGAGTTAAAAAAAATTTGATAAAAGACACATTTTAAAAAGATTCCATACTGTTTTCCTTAGGGGTTTTAAGATACCTCACTTCCTGCCCCTCTGATAGCCAGGAAGAAAATATTGTTATTTTGGAAGAAAAGGCTAAGTCTATGTTTATATATATCTATATCTTTTCAAAATGGCATTGAAAATAACTTGTACCTTTGATTAAGAAAGTACTCTTTCTATTTAAGTGTCAGTTCATTAGTATGAACTATTCCTTAGAATTCTGTTAATTCTGTTGAATTAATAGTCAATACCAAAAAAAAAAGTAGTCTATACCAGGCTATTCTGCTTCTGAAAATTTAAATCTCTGTTAGAATTGAAAATGGGTTGTTTCCTTTGAATACATTGTCTGATTTCTGTGCTGTAGTTTGTAGCTTGATGTTCCCCTTTTCCAGGGAGAATCCTGAGCCAACCTATCCATGAACATACTCTCTGCCATTTCCTTAATCCTTTTTTGGGGAAAACTCTTTTATAATAACAACTGTTGGTGAACCATTCATCAGAAACTCTTGTAAGTGTGCTTTAGTTAGATGATTGCATGGTCCTTTGTTAAAAATGGTATAAAATCTTAAAAAGAATGTCTTCTGTCTAGCTGACTTCTTGAAGGATAGAATAACCTTGAAGTTATAACAACATTTTTTAGCTTCCCATGTATTGTTTCATTTAAACATTGAAATTCTTACTTAGGAAAGGAATTTACTACCTAGAGTTTGTTTCCATTTCCTTTCTTTTCACTTTCTTTCTCTGTTAACTGATTCACTTAGAATTTACTTATGCTTCACCAGGGCTATTGAAGATCAGTAGATGTACTGTTTATCTAATCAAATATAGGACTAATAATATGCTATCCTTAGAAGATTGGGGAGATTTAGCTCTTTTTCTCACTCATACGCAGACACCTTGGCACATGCCACCAGATAGTTATGTTTTCTTCCTAAGTAGGCCAAAATACTTGCATAGAGTAAATAATTTAAAATTATCCAGGATGGTTTTTCTTTTTATCTTTTAAAAATTCCCTCTGAATTTTCATTTATGAAGAGCAGCATGGGTCACTCTGAAGGGGGGACAGCAACAGTTAATGTGACCTGTTGTTCAGTAGGTTCTCTAGAGCATGCACACTTGTAGAACATAAAGAATGAGATAGAGATGTGCCCTCCCCTCCCCACCTTTAAAAAAAGAAGTAACCTATAGCTCTGTGTCTCTATATTTCACTAGGGAAATCTGGGAAAGGAGAACCAAAATAGAACTTTCTGTGTATCGTTATCAGAAGTCTCACTATTAAGTCATTTCATAAATAACACAGTTTTAGAAAAACTATTTGCGGACATTTGGAAATGTGTCAAGGGAAAGAAAAGTCTCTTCAAAAGGGGAGGAAAGAAAATTCATAAGCAGATAGTATGGTGGTGACATTGTAGGAAAATTTGATCCAGCAAGTTTTAAATATTATATGAGAGTAAAAAGGAGAAAGTTAATTGAGTGATTTTGTAAAAGACCTAAAGTTTTTTTGGTATTAAGAGAAATTATCTGTATAGAAAGCATTCATTTTATGTAAAAAATGTCTAAGGAAATGTTTTTAATGAAAATTAACCTTTTCTTTGTAGTCTGTTATGATTGTCACTGAATTTTTAATTGAGGAGTATTTAATTGAGAAATTTTATGGAGAGGTAGCTTTAATGAATGGGATATTTCTACAGAGTTGATTATCAATAGAGTAATAAGTGTTATTGTAACTTTTTTTCCTAATAGGAAAGAATTGATTATTAGAGAAAATATTATTTTTGCATGTATCTTTTGGCACTTTGTATAGTCCAGTTATAGACATCAATACTTGCTGATATAGTGGAGGTGTGCTTTCGTTTACTTTTCCATTTTGAAGATTTTTAGAAATGTCCAAGCTTAAAAGGAGTAAGGAGAAAAGGAGGCAGTGACCTGTGACATTTTGGAGATACTTTGGTTTCCTGCATTTTTTGAGGGTTTTTATTTGCTCTTGTATTTCACTTCTGTAGTTGAGAATATGTGAGTGAATATGTGAATGAATAAATTAGGACATAATGAAGAAACACAGATTTCCTAATTTTTGCTCTGAAAGACTATCTGTTGGTTTATATGCCATGGTATTATCATTATTGTGATTAAATTATTAACTTTTGTCCCTTAAGTTACCCTGACTTTATTTGACAATGACCCTAACTGGAATACAAATTTTATCTACAGATTTAATTGTTTCCATGAACTGTGGTCTTTTGAATAGCTCTCATGTCTAATTTATAATAGCTTTAAGGATTGTGCTTCCCTTATGTAAGATTTTTGTCAGAAGCCCACTACCCATTTCGCCCTTAAGCCCTTGGCAGATGTGGTACCACCATAATTTGATGTATTTAAAAAATATGAAATAGCATTATGTTCCCAGGACCAGAATTATGTTAATGCATCAAGATTAGAAAATGCAGGGAAGCAAAATATGAAAATTAGAAAATCACTTGCAACCTCAGTGCCCTGAGGCCTTTTACTTTTCAAGTGTTGGTCTTACTCTCTCGGCTCCTCACTCTGTCTTCTGCTGGGACTGTCGCTCTGCTGTCTGCGTTTGTCTTGTTCATTTCCGTCTCACATGAGACCTCTCCTTCCAGACGTCTTGTCTCACGGCACAGCTGAGCTCCTTCAGCACTGACTTTGTCCTTGGCTCCCTCTTTACTTCTGGCTGACCCCCATCATTCAGCCGTGTAGACTTCTCATCTTGTAGCAAATGCTGAGAAATCTTTTCTGAGTTATTTCCGCGTCTCTTCTGATGACTCCCCAGCTACTACATCTTGTTTAGTAGTTCTTGCTCTTGAACTGCTGACCTGTCTATTGGATATCTTCAATTAGAGTTAGCCTCACATGCACCTAAATAAAATATATCTAAAATTGAGCTTCATTCTTATCTCATCACAGCTTTTTCTCCTTGGCTCTTCACCTTCGGGAATATAGCACCACCACTTATCCAGTTGTAAAAGCCAAAATTTTAGTAACTGTATTTGGCCTTTGACTCTCCTTTTAACCCCTCCTTGCTGATGATTTCTCCCCTCCTCTTGTTGTTTTCCGGCCGTTACTTCCCTTCAGTGTGCCCACCTAAGTCGACACTGTGTGGGTGCTCCTTCCAGGATACCCTTGGGCTGCCCTTTGCAGCATTTATTACGCGTAATAAATCTATCTTGTGATATAGTTACTGTGTTGGCTTATTCTTCTTAATTTGACAGAGAGCTCTTTAAAGGAGGGACTGTGTTTCTTATTTCTTCGTCCTTTGTGCCAACACTGTGCCTAGCATAAAGTGTACTCATGAAAATATTTGCTTTGTTGACTATTTCCGTTGTTGAGTAGATGAATAAAAAGGGCTTCCCAGGTGGCTCAGTGGTAAAGAATCTGCCTGCCAGTGCAGGAGACGCAGGAGATGTGGGTTTGATCCCTGGGTTGGGAAGATCCCCTGGAGGAGGAAATGGTAACCTACTCCAGTACTCTTGCCTGAAAAACTCCATGGGCTGAAGAGCCTGGCAGGCTACAGTCCATGGGGTCACAAAGAGCTGGACACAACTGCGTGACTGAGCACACACACATGCAAATGAACAAAAGGAAAGATCAGGAGCAAGCAGTTTGTTTAAATTAGTTCATATTGTCTGACTAGTCTCCTAGGGTTAAAAGCAAGTCTCTTATTTTAAAAGCAGCACATTTAGTGATCATAATAGAATTTTTGATAGCATGACAATTTTGTCAACAATTTCTTATATGACATTTTGTAATCATAATGGAATTTTTCATAGCATGACAGAATTTTGCAAAGAATTTCTTATATGACGTTTAGTAATCATAATAGAATTTTTGATAGCATGACAGAATTTTGCAAAGAATTTCTTGTATGCAGTAAGTGGAGTTTTTGACAGGTCTCTTAAATCACACTTGGTTACCTGTTTGGCCTAATGTTTGCTTATTAGTATTACACTATTGAGTTTGTTAGAAGTTAGATAATTAGATTTTTCAGAAGTAAGGGCCCCAGTATACTAGGTAATGGAATTTAAAACTCAGTTTTACCCTATAGAGAATGAGGTCTGGATCAGTGTTAAGACCGTGTGTTAAATTATTTTTCTTTATTAAGTGTTTTTTTTCTTTTAATTTAAATAAGTTTAGACAATAATTTAAACTAATGAAGGTAACTTACTTTTATGTGTTATATAATCTAAATGATTGTTATTTTGTTTTTTGAAATATCCTAATTTTAGTGGTATTCTGATCAGAATTTACCTTGCCTCCAGAAATCTTATTACTGTCTTAACTGAGATTTTATGAAATGCAAAAGTTTAGGTTAATTACTTGCTACAAAGCTATTTCTTCTTTAGTATTTTTCAGATTATTTATCCTTTAAAGCAAGTGCTGAGTACGTTCTTTATGTTTAAATTTATTTAAATTATTTTGTGTTTGTAAACATGCTGTTTTTGAGATGAATATATATTTTGACATCTAACTCATTTCCAGGGCAACTGTAACTAATGTTTGAAGAGGTTAAGTGACATTTTGTGTAGTGTAGACCTTTTTTGTACTAGTTTGACTATTTTTCTAATATGAAGAAAAGAGTGATTTCTTAAAATGAAATTTAAAAACCAAAACAGTTGGGGGGAGAATTGCTGCTTTATATTTTTAAAGCAAATATTATTAGTTGATTTCAGACAGGACTGTGTTGGTTAGAACATTTTTGTTTGCCTTTGCATGACAGTTTTGAGCACTTTAATGAAAATTTTTTTTCTTGTTCCAATATATGAACCTAAATGGTTTGACTGTGAGATACACATTTAATTTTCTTCTCTCTTTAGATAATCGTATGGAAGAGATACAGTGACTTTAAGAAACTGCACAAAGAACTATGGCAAATTCACAAAAACTTATTTCGACATTCAGAATTGTTTCCTCCATTTGCTAAAGGAATAGTGTTTGGTAAGTGATTATTTTGAAATTGTGATTTTGAAAAGTGATGACTAGCTAATTATGTATATACATTGAACACTAAAATACTGCACCATGAAGTCAGAAGCCGCTTATTAAGATAATTCCTTTTATGCTGCAAGCTCTTGAAGTTGTTTTCTCATTTTTTTTTTTAAGCTAGGAGATTCATATTTTATTTCTTCAGTGACATATTTACAGTTGAACATAAATTAAAGGCCTGCTTGCACACCAAAACTAAGTGTCTTAGGTGGTTCAGTCAGAGAGGTGAGACCTCTGACTGACTCACAGGAGAAGCATCCACTCCTTGACCCAGGTTTTGGGATTTTGCCAGCATTGAGTTCCTCAATAATTTCTTCAGTATTCTTAGGTGTCAGATTCTTGTAGTAGCTGTCATTTATTTGAACCATTGGTGCGTTTACACATTCCACTTCTAAACATTCCACTTCTGTAAGAGTGAAAAGTTGTTCAGGTGTAGCCTCCCCAACCTTTATTCCAGGTGTTTTTCTGAATGGCTTCCATTGTGCTGTCCAAGTTTCAAAGCATGCAAGGCATAGTAGTGCAGGCTTGAATATGATACTTAACAACTGGCTTTGTACTATACATTGTATAAAAAGTTGCAGCTTCATGTGCTTTCATTGAAGATAATTGCAGAACTTCTGTAACTTTTTTCCTGTAGAGATGGGCAGCCATCCAGTCAGTCTGGGCTAAATCAAGGAGTGGAAGCACAGCTACTGCCTTATGCTCTGCTGGGTAGTTTTTTTTTTTTTTACAGTTGCTTCTGTCCTCTTAGTTTTCCAGTATGAAATCAAATGGAGTATCTGGGTTATTCTCAAGAGTATCTCTGTGCACAAAGAAGGCTCCCCCAGCTCCATTTTGCACAGTTGTCTTATGCAGATTCCTTCTACATCTTCCCCTCTGGGTGGTGAGGCTAACTTTGCAGGCTCAAATGCCACAGAGAGGAACACGGCAGGCCAGACTTCAGTCCTTTTGGGTCACTTGTTTTTTCATGTTCTTGCTGTGGTTTTGTTAACTCAGAGTGCATTTGCTCTTCCCTTTCATGAAAAAAACAGCACCAGAACAACAACTCAAACTCTAACCAATCAAACAAATAGAAAAACCCTGTAGGAACATAAGGTGACATTGAATTATTCTTGCATGGCTGTCCTTCAGTGTCTATGGGGGACTAGTTCCAGTACCCTCTGTGGGTACCAGAGTCTGTGGATGCTCAAGTCCCTTGTCTGGTGTAGTGCAGTTGACCTTCGGTATCTGCAAGTTCCTCATCTATGGATTCAACCAACTGTGGATCAGCACCTCATATAAGTAAAATCATACAGTATTTGTCCTTTTGTGGCTGGCTTATTTCACTTAGCATCATTTCTCAAGATTTACTCACATGGTAGCATGTATCAGAATTTCCTTCTTATGTCTGAATATAGTCCATCGGGTGTATGTACACCATTTTGTTTGTTTCTTCATTCATTAGAAGGGAACGACAGAGGATGAGATGGTTGGATGACATCACCAATTCAGTGGACATGGGTTTGGGTGAACTCTGGGAGTTGGTGATGGACAGGGAGGCCTGGCATGCTGCGGTTCATGGGGTCACAAAGAGTTGGACACGACTGAGTGACTGAACTGGACTGCAGTGAACAACACTTGGATTGCTTTTACCTTTTGGCTGTTAAAAATAATGCTGCTGTACTGGACTTCACTGGCGGTCCAGGTTTAAGACTGCCTTCCAGTGCAGGTTACAGATTTGATCCCTGGTTGGGGAGCTGAGATCCCACATGCCTTGCAGCCAAAAGACCAAAACATAAAACAAAAACAGTATGGTAAAGTCTAGAACAGAAGCCTGAAACATAATAAAGAGGAAACAGAAAAACATCACAAAAACCACCAAACTGGGGTTTCTCTGGTGGCTCAGTGGTAAAGAATCTGCCTGACAATGCAGGACACTCAAGTTCGATCCCTTACCCAGGAAGATCCCACATGCCAGAGAAACTTAGCTGGATTTTTCCACAGCTAAACAAGGCTCACCTGTGACCTGAACACTACACGTCTAGCACTTAGAAAACAGCTTTGAAAAAGTGTCCAGACAAAACCTATCACACAATTATACACAGCAGCTCTACTTGTAACAGCTAAAAAAATAAAAATAAAATGGTAGAAACACAAACAAGTATGGAGCAACGAGAAAATGATAAACAAATGGCAATACTAAGTCTTCAAATGTCAGTAATCACCCCAGATGTAAGTAGATTGAATTCACTCAAAAGAAACAGAGTGACCAGATGGATTAAAAACTATTTGTTGCCTCTAGGATACTCAGCTAAGCTCTAAAGACAACTAAAGGCTCAATGTGAAGGGATGGAAGGTGGTACTCCAGGCGGTTGTCAGCCAGAAGAAAGCATGTGTAGTCATACTTATATTAGACAAAAACAGGCTTAAAGCCAAAAACATTACAGGAGACAAAAATGGATGTTATATAGTGATAAAGGGGACAGTCCATTAAGAAGACATGACTCATTAATACATCTGACATAGTACCAAAATAGATAAAACAATTATTAACAGTCCTAAAGGGAGAGATTGACAGCAACACAATAATAGCAGGGGACTTGAACCTCCCACTTACATCAATGGATAGATCTAGACAGAAAGTCAACAAGGAAACGTCGACTTTAAATGAAACTTTAGACCATTCTTACAGATGTGTACAGAATATTCTATTCAAAAGCAACAGAATACACATTTTTCTCAAGTGTGCATGAATTGTTTTCAAGGATAGACTATATGTTGGGACCCAAGTTAAGTCTCTTTAAGAAAATTGGCCAGGGACTTCCCTGGTATTCTAGTGGTTAAGAATCCGCCTTCTAATGCAGGGGATGTGAGTTCAGTTTCTGGTTGGTGAACTAAGAGCCCACATGCCGTGGGACAACTAACCCCGGCACCACGAGTAGAGAGCCTGCATGTTGCAACTGCTGCACTGCAGTGAAAAGATCCCACAGGCTGCAACTAGGACCCGACACAGGCAAATAATTTTTCTTTAAAAGAAGATCAAACTATAAGAAGAAAGCTGGAAAGTATCATAAGTATGTGGAGACTGAACAACTATTGGTCAATGAAGAAATCAAAAGAGAAAAAATGCATGAAGACAAATGAAAATGGAAATATGACATACCAAAATCTATGGGTTGCAGCAAAAACAGAATTCTAAGACAGAAGTTTATAGCAGTATAGGCCTTCTTTAAGTAATTAGAAAATCTCTAGTAATCTAACCTTAAACTAAAGAAACTAGAAGAAAGGAACAAATGAAGTATATAATCAGTTGAAGGAAGGGCATAAAAGTCAGAGTGGAAGAAAATGAAATAAAGACTTAAAAGACAGTAGAAAAGATCAGTGAAACTAAGAGCTGGTTCTTTGAAAAACAAAATTGAAAAACCTTATGCTCAACTCACTAAGAAAAAAGAGAAGTCTCAAATAAAATCAGAAATGAAAGAGGTGAAGTTACAGTGAATACTACAGAAATACAAAGGATTATAAGAGACTACTATGAATGAATATACCACCAATTTGGACTGTCTATAAGAACTGGATAAATTCTAAGAATCATTCAACCTTTCAAGTCTGAAACATGAAGAAGTATAAAATCTGAATAGATTGATCACTGGTAAAGAGATGGAAACTAATAAAAAAAAAAAAAGCAGCCTCCCCAAAACATAAGTCCAGGACCACATGACTTCAGCAGTGAATTCTGTGAAACTTTCAAAGAAGATTTAATACCTGTTCTTCTGAAGCCCTTCCAAACAATTGAGATGGGAGTGCTTCTTAACACGTTTTACAAGGCCATCATTACCTTGATACGAAAACCAGGTAAGGGTAATATGCAGAAAAGAAAATTACAGACCAATATCTCTGATGAGCATAGATACAAAAGTCTTCAACGAAATATTAAGCAAATTGAATACAGTACACTAAAAGGATCATAATGATGAAGTGGCATTCATTCCAGGTATACAAGGATGATTCAGTATCTGCAAATCTATTAATGTTCTACACCACATTAATAAAACGGAAGATAAAAATCATATGATTATTTCAATAGATGCAGAAGAAGCATTTGACAGATTTTAACATCTATTTATGATGAACTTTGAATAAAATAAAATTATTATAGAAGGAATGTACCTGAACATGATTAAGACCATATATGACAGACTGATAGCTAACATCATACTGATCGGTGAAAAACTAAAAGTTGTGCTTTTATCAGTGAGATCAGGATGCCCACTCTTATTCAACATAGTATTGGAAGTCCTAGCCAGACCTTTTAGGCAAGAAAAAGAGAAGACATCTAAATTAGAGAGGAAGAAGTAAAACTGTCACTATTTGCAGATGACGTGATTTTATATATATAAACCTCTATAAACATTTTAACAAAAATCTATTAGAAATAATAAATGAATATAGTAAAGTTGCAGGATATGAAATCAAAATACAAAACTGTTGCATTTTTATACCCTAATAAGAACTAGCAGAAAGAGAAATTAAAACAATCTCATTTACAGTCACAGCAAAAAGAATAAGGTACTCTGGAATAAACTTAACCATGGAGGTGGAGACTTGTACACTGAAAACTGTAAAGCATTGTTGAAGGAAATTGAAGAAAACACAAAGCAATGGAAAGATATCCCGTGTTCATGGATTGGAAGATTAACATTGTTAAAATGCCTACATTACCTAAAGCTATCTACAGATTCAATCCCTGTCAAAATCCCAACAACAGATTTCATAGAAATTGAACAAAAAATCATAAAATTTGTATGGAATCATAAAAGATCCAGAATAGCTGAAGTAATCCTGAGGAAAGTGAACAAACCTGGAGGTATCACACTCCCTAATTTCAAATTATACTGCAAAGCTCCCTGGAGGAGGAAATGGCAACCCACTCCAGTATTCTTACCTGGAGAATCCCATGGACAGAGGAGCCT